TCCTGTTGGCCTCAGCCCATCAATCCATCCTCTCCAGACCCCTCTGAAGAGCCTCTAACCCTCCAACTGATCAACACAACCTCCCAACTGGCCATCATCTGCCAACTGCCTGAACATCACCTCAAACACCACTCCCCCTGCCCAGAACCTACTGGATCAGGCAGCAGAGGCTCCGGGGCACGCTTTCAACCAAGACTACTGAACAGCACTGATACCTCCTCAAAATTTCCTTCCATGGGCTTGTAGGCAAGGAGGAGGACAGATCTCATGAGGTCTCCCACGAGGATGAAGTCCCCCTTGGTCTTCAGGTAGAGGGCCATGATGTTGTTGTAGTGGTTGCACTCCGTGCGCAGCTCCTTCTCCAGCGTCCACTCGTAGAGACGCACCTGAGGGAAGGGACAGAGCTCTGAGCCAGCAAAAAACCCCCCCAGGACACCCTCCCCAACGAAAAGCAGGGACCTGGCTGGCCTTAGGAGCAGGCTCCAGCTCCCCAAAGTGTTCCCAAAAGGAAGGAGGGTGTTGAGAGGGCCCCACCGTGCTGTTGATGCTGGCTAAGAGCTTCCCGTTGAACTCCACCATGGAATACACGGCTCCCTTCACCTCCTTCTCAGCCACAGTCTGCAGCTTCCCTGGAATCAAGCCATGGACCAGCTGGTTATTGCCCTGAGCTCCCAAAGGTGGCAGGATGAGGTGTTCTAAACATTTCTGCCCCTAGAAACCCCCTCAGAGGCGAGTAACGCGGGAGGGACGCGACCAGAGGGACATGGAGAGAAAGTAACTCCCAGAACCTGGCTCTGGAGAGGGATTTTTGAGCTTCTCAAGGAGTTGAGGGGAAAGGGGACATGCTGTGATAGCATGCAGTGGAGTGACAGCACCTCCAGATGGTGTCTGCAGGCAGCTGACAGGTGCCTCAGGAAAAGCTCTGCCTGATAAGGGGATGTGAGGTCTCTTGGGCCTGAGGAGCTTGTCTCTGATCCCCCTCAAGCAGCTGGACTTGGCCATGGGAGAAGAACAGGGCCACAGCAGTGGTGTGAGGGCTGCAGGCCCTCTGCTGGGAGCCCAGCAGGAGAGAGTTGGGCTGGGGCAGCCCCAGAGGAGAAGGCTCCAGCTGGGGAGACCTGCTGGGGGCTGCCAGGGGCCTGCCAGAAAGCTGGGGGGGGACTTTGGAGCAGGAGCTGTTGGGACAGGACAAGGGGGGATGGTTTGAAGCTCCAAGAGGGAGCTTGAGACTGGAGAGAAGGGAGAAATGTTGGATGCTGAGGGGGGTGAGCCCCTGGCCCAGGCTGCCCAGAGAGGTGGTCGCTGCCCCATCCCTGGCACCATCCCAGGGGAGGTTGGATGGAGCTCTGAGCACCCTGCTCTAGCTGGGGCTGTCCCTGCTCCCTGCAGGGGGGTTGGATGGGGTGAGCTTTGGGGGGTTCCCTCCCCCCCAAAGCAGTCCATGAGTCTAAGACTCTCACCATCAGCATAGTAGAAGACGACGATGCGGCCCTGCTTGGGCTCTGCCTCCTCAGGGTACACCATGGCAGTGCCCACGATGAAGTAGGTGTTGGGATCCCTGCTGAGCCTGCAGGACACCAGGCTGAGGGCATATTCATTCTGCAGAAACTGGTGAGCATGAAGCACTGTAAAGAGAGGCAAAGGTAGAAAGAAGTGGGTCCCCTGCTCCTGGCAGGCAGCACTCCCCCTGCCCAGGCAGAGGAGCTTGTCCAGGAGCAGCTGAAAACCTGAGACATGTCCCTGCAGCTCCCTGGAGATCCCTTCTCTTCTTCCCCACCACCAACTTGGGCCATCAAAACCTGCTGTGCCTTCCACCTAGGTCCTACAGTGGAAACTCCTCCAGGGAAAATGCTTCAAGTGAAGGAAATGTGGAAGATCACAGAGATCTTCATGAGCCCTTGAAGGTCAGTCTCAGACACCCACTGATGGGCTTGTCCCAGAGGAGAAAAATGGGCTAAGAGTGTGGCCAGCAAGCCAAGGGAGGTTCTCCTGCCCCTTTACTCAGCCCCACTGAGGTCACCTCAGGAGTACTGGGTCCAGTTCTGGGCTCCCCAGCTCCAGAGAGACCAGGAGCTACTGGAGAGAGTCCAGTGGAGGCTGCAAAGCTGCTGAGGGGCCTGGAGCATCTCTGTGCCAGGACAGGCTGA